TCCTCGAGCTGTTGTTGCATCCTTTGGTTGGCTTCTTCCTGTTTCAGGAATCGCTCGTTCTCTTCCGCTTCTTCATCCACAGCGATGCCTTGCGCGACAGGTGCTTGTAGATCCACTTGTTCTTCTTTAGTCCCAAATTCTTTGTTCTTGGATATGCGCTTGGCATTTTTCTCACTTTCATCATATTGCCGAGATTTCTTGGATGTTCTGTCCGCCTTGGAACGGAGACCATGCGATGAAGAAGTCAACCTTTCCACGCCTGGTTTTGCTGCAGCAGGGTCTCTTGAACGTCTAGCTCGATCCTTGGCATCGCCATCACCCTTGATACTATGAGGACGCCCTTTGGTCTTGCTAGGATCCTTGAGAGAAGTGTCGCCAGTGGCACCCGCCGCGACCTGAGGTGCAAAAGGAGACGCAGGGGCATCTGATCTTCAATTAACATGATCGCCCTTGGTGCTATGACGTCCTTTCGCCTTGCTACGATCCTTGGAAGAAGTTTCACTAAAGGCGCCCACCTGAGGTGCAGAAGGAGAAGATGCAGTAGGTGCATCCGATCTTCGATGATTGCCCTTTGCTCGATCTTTGGTTCGACGGTCTTCGTCATCACGCCGTGATCTCGGTGGGTTGTCTCCCTATTTTTAAGAATTTTTAAGAATTCCGCCCCCCCCCCCCCCCCCCCCCGCCTCGAGAACCCGCCAAAGTAGATTACAAGATTCCTAATTCCACATCGGCCAGCTCGCACGACTGACAAGCTAAATATCGCGCGATATTCGCGCAATGGAAACGAAACCCACCGAAACACAATGACCATGGCTCCACTTTACGTCATTATTCGTACGATTGATCGGAATTGTGTCAAATTTGTACAAATTCAACGTACGAAATACGTAGAAACACCTCGCGAATTTAGTATATATATGTGGGAAGTTTCGGTCAATACGATCTTACCTAGAATAAGATCAACGCAAACTTTGGGATGCTCCTGCCGTAGCCGCAGTACATTAAGCACGCAGACGGGACATACGGACATATATATATACAGTAATAATAAAATGGGTTCAAAGATGCACGCCACTAACTGAAAGATGAACGACTGACTGACTCAATCACTCTTCCTATCACGCATATTTTTTATATATAAAAAATGAAAAACTTGATACGAACTCGAGAATTTTTCTTCGGGCAACATCACATTTCTTCAGCTCCTGCTATCACACATGCAGGATGAAATTAGAGGATCGTA